AGGCAGAAGCCAACAGCGCCGCGCGCGCAGACCGTGATGCCAAAGACACTGCTGCTGACAACGGGCCTGCTGCTGCCTTATAGAAAACTAAGTCATTTTCATTGTAAATATAGAGTAGTTTATTTCATGCACTTCCATTATGTTTCTCTAGCTTAATTAGGTCTACTCCTGTAACTTTGGTTTATTTTTTTTAAGTACTATTAGGGGGGATCAAGCAATCAAAACTTTCTAGCAAGCAAGCAATTCTCTGTACTGGTGTCTCTCCCCCTCGACACCGCGTTGCTTTTCTGTAATAGCTTTCATTAATGCAATCAAGCTTTCTTTCATTCTGAATTCTCATTTCTGTTCTCTCAATTGCTCTTGACATTGGTTTTCCCGTACGGCACTGACAATCTCGTCTAGCGTACGGAGGGGACCTCAGTTGGCGGACAGCAACTGGACTGACATCAGTTGCCTAGCCGTACGTCGCCCTTCCAAGGAATCTCAGGAAGGCGCCGCGTATCAGTATGTGTGTGTGTGTGTGTTTTTTTTTTTTTTTGAGTTCTATAAAGGAAAATGCATTTACAGAGAAAGAGGTCTTGGGTGTATCCTAATTGTATTTATGATTTGTTTAGTGATTGTTGTTGGTGTTTTTTTTTTATTTTGAGAAAACGAAATTAGAGTACATAAAAATAAAAAAATTCCGAAATTGAGACCATTTAGGTGGAAGTGATCCTCCTTGTCAACAATTTACAATAGACATGAGAAATTAAAGTAGTCAGCAAATTTTGAGATAAATGGATTCTAAGCATTAATGCACATTGAGATTATCCTCCTTATGGGTCTGCCCTTCCGTCATGCTCATGCTTTTTAGAGATTGGCAAATCATGCTCATCTATCACATACCAATACTTCCGATCGAAGTACCAATCACCAAATGCCTTTGGTAGACTCTGTATATAAAACATACACTTCATAAGTCATTAACATATTGAAATGTTTTTCCATTTTTTTTTCTTTTTTCTTGTAATTTCTTATTATAACACAATAAACTAATAACCATAGCATGAATTTAAAAGTGAATGTCCATACATAAATAATCTCTTACCAGGTTATTTATCATAGTGGCGTTTTCAGGAGACCACCTTAGCAGTAGCGATGTATGATGATTTACCGAGTCAATGAAAACACCTCTCAGTTTAGGATTGTTTGGTTTGGGCAGAGTACTTAAGAATTCCGACCTAAATTCTACAATAAAAAAATTCAAAAAACGTTAGAAATATAATGTAACTCATAACGCAAATGAATTTGTTTCGTTGGTAGTGATATGATAATTAATTAGCTCATTAATAATAAAAGAACTTAATCATGCATTGTGTACTAATTACCTCTGAAGGCTTTGTTCTGACTTGTCGTGCATGTCCCATTTTCAATGACGTTGTGTAAATGAGGTTCTACAGTAGTGTTAATCTGCAGCCGTTCATTTATAAGATATACAGTAAGTGACAAACAAAATAAATCTAAATAGTTTACCACATAATAGAATATGATAGAGCAAGTTTCTCTATAAAAAATTTCTTGACATCTTTCAAAAAATATGTTAGTGCAAGTGATTCCACATTTTATGCAATAATAATAATAATAATAATAATAATAACAATAATAATAATAATAATAATTTTATTTTGTTATCTGAAGAAGTGGAGTGAGGTGTTCTTATAAAAAGTTCTTCCACGAATCAAAATATCGTAAATCTTCCACAAGGAAAAAAAAAAAGAAGAAGAAGAAAGGAAATTGGCTATACAAACTACATGTTTAAACAAAATGATAACAATTGATAAACATCTATCTAATTACCTGAATTATGTCAAATGCTGACATCGCAATGAAAAGTGGTGTCTTGATATTTTGTTGTATGTTTTCAGGGAATAAGCACTGCAGTCACAAATTGGAGTTTGTATGTTTATAATAAGTAATTTAATAATGAAAAAAGATTCAACCAACAATTAATTTTGGGAAGTAGGTAATTGTACCAATAGCGGTTTCATTTTTGAAGTGCATGATTTGGGTAACGTCTTGGCAGAACCCTGCAATTCGTGATAGGTTTAGATAGCAAAAAAAGAATTGACTAACTCTTGACTCCTCTTTTAAGTAAGTAGTAATTGATATCATGGAACTTCTAACATGAAATGTTTTTGTTATTCCCTCTTTTTCATTGATAATAATCTTTCGCTTCAGTCTATTCCGAAAAGAATAATACCTTGAAACATTTAACTTTAAATTTTTTATTTTACGCTTAACGACATCGTCTTATTGTTAATTATATAAATATCATGGCATGTTTTAGACCACTAATTCTAAGGATGCTTTTGGAATAGGCCAAGAGTCTTTTCTTTCTTTCATTAAAACTATGTTCGGTGAAACAACACTACATCATATCATACCATATATCATATATCATATATTATATTATAAGTGTGAAGACCTAAAGAAAAAGTTCAAAGACCAAAATGCCCACTAAAAGTTGAATGATCATTTTGCCCTTCAGTCAAATATTACCCCTATATATAATGTAATTGTATACTTAAATATAATTATATATTTATGTTTTGTTTCGTTCATCTTCCACTATAATAATTTTCTTGCACAACCTTTCATAGCATTCTATAGAAGTGCATAAATATAGTAAAGTAAAATAACATGCATCAAAGAAAGGCAGCCTTCTCTTCGAAAATAATATTTTTAGTGGTTCTTTTCATTACCAAGCTACTCGTATTCTACCAACGACATGAGGATTGTTTGCAATTTTCTCTTCTGTCTTCTCATTTGTTCAAGTAAGTGTCCCTTTGTCTTTTTAATATAAATGTGTTTTAAATTCTTCTCTGAGTCACTATCCCATCTAGATCTATATCTATGTGGTTATAAAGTGCTGATCATTTTATATTTTATATTAATTTTTCTTTGTTACTTTCTACGAGTATTCATGGAACTATATAATTTTTTTTTTCTGAGATATAGCATCGTCCATGTTAGAACTGGTAACTATAATAGATAAATGGTGATATTCAAATTAAAGTTTACTGTACAAGTATTTTTATTTTTTTGAGATATAAAATCATCCATGTTAGAACTGGTAACTTCAATGAATGGTGATATTCAAATTTATTGTCTACTCTAATTTGAGGTCATATTACTACGACAATATTTATTTAACAAATTATTTTTTTTTGTTTTTGTTAGTTATTGGAATATTTTCAAAGTAAAATATATTATGCGACAAAAAAAAACATGTAAAAAGTCCCTAGCTTGGTACGCTAATATGAAACATTTTCAGGACTACCGCAGACCTTTAAACTATAATCTTTTATTCAAATAGGCTGAGTATTCATCAAATTGATCCTTATAGTATTTTTGTTTTAATTTTTTTATTACTCATTATACACATACATTAATATATTATCTATATGATTTTAATAGATATTATTCTAATTTATATGAGACGCACGTATACAAAAATTAATAAATTGAAAATAGAGGTATTATTTAGTAACTTATATTAAACTAACATAAATTAGGAGAGGAGGATAAGAAGGGAATAAGAATATACATGTAAAGTAACAAGTCCGTTGTATATTTCTTCGAAGCCTCTTGCTTGCTTTTGATTCTTCCTATTAAAAAGAAATAATTCAAAAGTTATATTGCAATTAAAAATTTGTACGATTTTATAATAATCGATAATGTACGATTTTGAAAATCTTACGCATGGATAAAATAACCAGCATCAACAAAGCATTTCACTCTGGGAGTATTTTGCAGTAAACTGCGAAAACGATCACAATATAGCATTGCTGGATATCCTCCAGCTGAATTTCCAGCAATAATAGCCTGCAAAAAATCGTTAAAGAATTTCAGCAAGAAATCTAATTAGTATGCTTAATTAATTATTTATAGAATTTACATACATTCTTGGCATTCTTTAATCCTTTTGCCAACACATCCTCCATTACTGCTTCAAAAATTCTTGCTCCTCTGAAATGAAGATTAGTAGCCTAAACAAAATACAATATGATTAAATTCCACGTTCTCTTGTAAGGTTCTTGGATTTGAAAAATATAAAAGAAACCCTCAAAATTAAAGAGTGCTAATTAATTTCTTTTCTAGTAGTTATTCAATAGATAATTAATTAAACATATCAAAATTGTAATTTGAAATTATAACTTGAAAAGAGCATTACAGGATCAACGTATTCGACATCTCCAGTGAACGCTCCACCATCACAGTATCTAACAAGCACTTTGTTCCAGTTGTAGAAATCTACATATTTTACCTCATGAATTAGTAACAAGATATGTATAAACTAGAAATATTCAATACATTAAATCACCCTAAACTTGGCTCAGATTATTAGTATCCTCCCTGAACTATGCTCAGTCTTAATTACCCCCGTCAACTTGGTCTTTTGAGGGTCATTACCCCCCTAGACGCTGATGCGGAAAAAAGTGTGGGTGCACTCGCCTGCCACGTGGATTTTTCTGTCTATGTGACATTTTTTTTTTGAAAAATAAAATATATTTTTTACCCTTTTAAGAATATTACATTTTTAGATAATTTTTTTAAATAAAATTTATAATAAAACTTGGATACAACTACATCATTTAGGCTAAATATTTTTATTTGGCAAAAAATAATAATGTTTTAGTTAATATTCTTTTGAATTTGACCTGAAAATAAAGATTTATACAATTGAAATAAATAATCAAGGCATCTAAAAAATTATAAAAAATACATAGTTGAAATAAATAGTCATTGCATCTAAAGAAGAAACAAAAAGAGTGTACAATTGCACTTGTAATTTCTAGCAATTGTACACTCTTTTTATTTCTTCTTTTGATGCAATGACTATTTATCCAACTGTATATTTTTACTTTTTAGGTAAAATCTGTAATTAAAAAAATTTAGAGCACCGTAATTTAGATCTATATAAAAAATTATAGTCAAAATAATTAATTTCAAACTATGTATTTTTTATAACTTTTTAGATTCCTTGACTATTTATTTCAATTGTATAAATCTTTATTTTCAGGTCAAATTCAAAAAAATTATTAACTGAAACTTTATTATTTTTGGCCAAATAAAAATATTTAGCCTAAATAATATAGTTCTATCCAAGTTTTATTATAAATTGTATTCGAAAAAATTTATCTAAAAAGTAATATTCTTAAAAAGGTAAAAAAATATTTTATTTTTCAAAAAAATGCCACATAGACAGAAAAATCCATGTGGCATGTGAGTGCACCCACACTTTTTGCCACATCAACGTCTAGGGGGTAATGGCTCTCAAAAGGCCAAGTTGAGGGGAGTAATTAAGTCCGGGCATAGTTCGGAGATACTAATAATATGAGCCAAGTTTAGGGATGATTTAATATATTTTGCCATAAATTTTTCTTTCTAAATTAAGGAGATGTGGATAGTATAATCCAAGAAAACCTGGATTTGCACTCTGATTCTTGCTATAAATTCCTTGAAATGTGAATGGCCCCATAATAGTTGTAGAACCCACGTTATTGTCCCGGATTCGTTCCTTGCATGTTTCGACGCTTGTGCACCATGCTCCTCCCTAAGAATATCATGAAAAGATTTAAGAAATTTGGAAAAGGGGAAAAATCTAAAAATATTACAAGGTAAAAGTTTTCAAATATGTAAACAATATTCATGCACAGAGTCCCCATATATATATATATATATATATATATATATATATATATATATATATATTATACATGACTTACCGCAAGTTGTACAAACCAATTTCCAATTCCTTCCCCGAATCCTGGTTCAAAATGGTATGCTGGAGGTGATCCATCCAGGCATACTGGCAATAAATAAGGCCAAAAACACTCTTTCAATTTTCGATTTCCCAATTTAGATTTTGATTTGTATATAAGTTAAGAAATTAACCTGCTCCTTTTGACACCGCGTTCTTAACAATTGTTTTCTTCACTTCATAGAAATCCAAGTCTGTTGCACTTTCAGTTTTGATGATGGCCAAAGAACAAACAATTAAACAAAAAAGTTGAAGAGATCTTGTCGCCATCACCATCCTGTAAAACTTATAATATGACAAAAGGATGTAATAGTTTGTATGAAGAAAACAACTTGTCTGAACATATATATATATATATACTTTGTAAATATGTTGCAAAAGAGGTATTGACCCTAACTTATCAATTTTGAAACGATCTATATATACTTTCATTAGGGAGCTAGAGAGTGGAGTACCGGAAAATTAGGCATTGTAAAAGGACTAACCACTTGTTTTATTTTTTCACTAGGGACCTCAAGATATATTTTGAGGCCTATCATTTATCTATATTATTATTGTTATTATCTTTAAAATACGTCTGTTGCACGTGTTAATAAACTAAAAATTCACATAAAAAAAGAATAAAATTATGTAAACTAAAAATGGGCATTAAAATGGATGCGATATTCATTTAAATGACAGCAATAGTGTTGTTATATTGACTCGTTTGTTGAATTTAAAATAATTAAATATTTTTTAAACTTGCAACAATGAACAATTTAGTTAAGTTAATTATATTAATAATTATAACTCTTTTATTTTATGTGAATGTTGTGTTGATGCATATGGCCTAATATCTTTTTATAGCCGATGTTCAGAGTGTATATTTCTTTTTATCACTTCAATTGCTTTGTTATGATCAAAACTTCTGGTATTGATATTGGTATTTCACTAGAAAGTACTACAAAAGTTGTTGTATACGGTCAAAATCAAGTATGCTCGATTTGGTGGGCTCGAGGAACCGCTTCAAGAGTAAGTCCGAAGTACACTGGGTTCGAGGCTGATGGCAGAGTTCGAAGTTTGAAGATCAAAGTGACAGTTGAATGTCGAGGCCGAACGTGACCGGCCTCGAGATAATGCCGTTGTGATTTTATAATAGAAAGAGCAAGATTCTCGCTACGTCCCCAAGATCGTGGCGTAAATTCAAGAATAAATTTGTACGAGTTAGTACGAATCCGTACTAGGCGGTTAGACAACTGTCCCAATAAGATTTTTTACTGAAAATAGAAATGTACCTTATTTAGGGTTCCCCTAATATATAAAAGGGACCCCAATCATTTGTAATCATTATCAATAATTGGCAAAAGAATATACTCTCTTACTTCTCATTGTTCATCAGAATTGTCCTTTAACTTTATTATTCTTACTTTACTGTTCTTGATCCACCTCGAGGCCACCTTAGCTCGAGGTCGAGACTGGCTTGCACACTGGTTTGATTTTACCTATTTATTTCATTTATACTTCAGCTTTCTTGGTTATTAATTGGTATTGAACTAAATCACATATCTTTAAAACCATAAATCAAGTTTAATTGTTACTCGTATTTTCGAGGTAAACAGTTTGGCGCCCACCATGGCGCTAAAGATAATAGTGATTATTTCAGTACTGATTCTGATAACATACGTTATTTTTACACTTGTTCTTGTCAAGAATTTTTGTTCTCAGGTTAAAACATGTCAAACTCGCAAAACGCACCCGTACACGGCGATGAGGGTCTTGGATTTCATGGGAGAAAAAACAATGTAGGGGGTCGGTGTACCACCGATTAACCCTGGAGAAGTGCCAAATCTGGAACCAGTCGATGTTAGTTTGCACATTGCTTTGAATGTGGATTTAGGTGCAGACCCCGAAGGAAGTGTACGCAGGGAAGCCCAATCTAGTGGCCAAGGAACACAGGGTATAGGAGATAGGGGAGTCAGCCTCCAAGTAATATTCGAGATGCTACAAGCTCAACAGGTTGCTATCGCTCAGTTTCAAAGTCAGCACAAAACTCCAAGTGGGAGCCCCCTTGGGTTCAGTTCATCCTAATAGATTGGCAATTAAAGCCCCGAGGGATACAGACAGGGAACCAAGATCAAACAAGAAACGGTATCAGCCATATGTCGATCAGAGAAACAACGGTTCAGGGTGTAACGCTCCTCGGAACGATCGAAGAAATGATCGAGGTCAAAACTCTCGGGGACTTATGAGTAAGAATGGTTTTGATAAACATACCTCCCGAGTCCCAAATGGATTCAACATGGCAAGCGAAACAACGAAGGGGGAGATAATCCTACCAGTGAACGTGACCGGCCTCGAGATAATACCGTTGTGGTTTTGTAACAGAAAGAACAAGATTCCCGCCACGTCCCTAAGATCGTGGCGTAAGTTCAGGAATAGATTTGTACGAGTTAGTACGAATCCATACAAGGCGGTTAGACAGATGTCCCAATAAGATTCCTTACTGAAAATAGAAATGTACCTTATTTAGGGTTCCCCTACTATATAAAGGGGATCCCAATCATTGGAAAAAGAATATACTCACTTACTTTCTCGCTCTTTGTTCATTAGAATTATCCTTTAACTTTATTATTCTTACTTTACTGTTCTTGATCCACCTAGAGGCCACCTTAGCTCGAGGTCGAGACTGACTTGCACACTGGTTTGATTTTACCTATTTACTTAATTTATATTTTAGATTTCTTGGTTATTAATTGGTATTGAACTAAATCACATATCTTTAAAACCATAAATCAAGTTTAATTGTTACTCGTATTTTTTAGGTAAACTGTTGTCGGCGTGAGAAATATGTTGGTGAAAGTATAACCAGATGTTAGGGATAGTTTTATCATATGCTTTAATAATTTTGTAGGAAAACACAAACACATTGGAAGGAGTATTCTTGTAATGACTCAATCGATTGTTTTGAGCATTTGCATTTCGTTTAGCTGTTCGAAGTCTTGAGTAGCTTCATATGATGTGCTATAACTTGTGTGAATCGTCGGTTTTGGTTTTCAGGTGATTCGGGACTGATTCGAAAGAATGATTCTCAACTAGGAAACTTTAAGTTGGAAGAGTTGACCAAGTTTGACTTTTCAGTATTCAATCTCAAATCGGAGTTTTGATGGTTCCATTAGGCCTTGATGGTGATTGGACTTGGACGTATGTCCGGATTTGCATTTGGATATTTTTGTTGATACCCAATTTTGCCCTCATGTTTTATAAATTATTCCATATATTTTTAAAATACCATTTTGCATTTATCCAACTTACAGGGGTCATATAAGTATTTTTCTATAATTTTCTATAATTTGTAAAGCTTTAAATTTGATTTTCTCGCATATTAATTTGTTGAAATATTTATTATCTCTTTGAATTATTTTTAAGTTTATTTAATCATCCAATTTATTATTCTATACCCTTGTGAATTTTTATAATATTTTATCTATTTTTACACAGTTATATTTGCTTCATCTATAGTATATAAAAAATTAGCCTATATTTTACAATAAATCACATTTTATGATTTATTTGGGGTCAAAATAACTTTTTATATGTTTAGAACCTTCAATTATTATTTTAAAATGCGTATTTTCTTAAATAATATTTTTTATACTTATTTAGCTATTTTATTAATTTATTTTTCTTTTATTTATTTATTTTTAAAATCTGGCCCAAAGTCAGGCCAAAATTCGGACCAAAGCTAGCCTAAACCATTGGCCCAATGCCCCACAACCCAGACAAAGTAACCCTCTCCTCAAACCCGGTCTAGACCTACTAAACGACCCGCCCCAACTATTTTTTAAATGCTGGTCGTTGATCTTTCAAGATCAACAGCTCACGATCACTCGGTCCCTGCCTAACCCCAAACCCTAATACCCATTTCTCCAAGAGGGCCGCCCCTAAACACTCTCCCTTTCCGTTACTTAGAGCCCTAATGTCCTCCTTCCATATCTTCTCTGGATCCGATCAAATCATGGATTCCTTCCATGATTCACTTACCTTATGTATGTCCTGCCTCGTTGTTACTTACACGACTATGGTGTTAAGTACTTGGCCATCTTTGGCAAGTACCAATCTCTGAATGAAGGGAAATCAGCTTCACTCTTCAAGATTTGGACAATATTTTGTCATTATATGTTCATAGCAAGGCTATGAGGGTCCGATTCACCGAGATCTCCGGCTAATTTCTGACCCTTGACAAACTAGGGTTTATCTAGTTTTTTCTCCTAATCCGATTCTAAATTGATTTTTGCATGTTCTTCTTTCCTTGTTATGTTTTATTGACTGTATTCCTTATCTGTGTGGTTTTACTACTATATAAACCCACATTCCCCGTTTCCCCTAAAAAAAGTCTTAAATACTGTTACTACTACTACTTTCTCAAACTCACTCACCCTAAACTATTATACTCTTGGCCGGCTGAAAGCCAAGGCCACCGGAATCCGACTATTAGACCTCTCTCAATGTGAGCACTTCTCGGGGTTCATATGAGACCTTGGGGAACCCCGACGCACAAAGAATTTTGGGGTTTCTGTTGTTCTCTCCTTGTTACTGATAAGCAAGCTATTGGCACTAATTTTCTACCTTATTATCTCATTTATTCTGCAAATTGGTGAGTAACTGGACTCTTGTAATTCCATTCCCTTTTGCTCGTATTCATGTCATTTTTAGGCCTTTCTGAATCAATATGCTATTATTTGCCTCTGTTCGTGTTCATGTTTGCTTTAGCATTATCCTGTACCATGTGCTTTTCTAGTATCTAAACCTGCTTGAGTTCTGAGTTTCGAGGCATGCCTATTATATGTGTGCAATTCGGATAATTTCTGATTACCTTCAGCCTACTCTACAACTTTGCTCACCTATTGCTCTTAATGAGCCCTTTCTTATGCCTTGCCTTGGATTCTTGTATTCTTAAGGGGATTATCTTCTGCCCAGAACCTGCTTGAGTGAATTCCTTTATGATGAACCCTTCATGTATGTTCTACTGTTTTCCCTGCTTTATGCTTACATGACCCTTATGTACCAGTTATTGTCTCACTGTTTTAGCCAAAAATGTTGCTCTTTAATATGGTGTTTGGTCAATCCTGCACTCTTGAGTATTTCCTAGGCTTCTAGTTGAATCTGAATACATTTAGTTTCTGTTATTATGCACAGTCGACTAGCTTAAGTTCTGAAGTATGTTTGTTCTATTTTACCTTAAGATTGACATGTCTTCCTACCATGATATCTTTGGACTTAGGAATCTTTTTGTTATACTTAGCATGATTAGGATTCTTATTGACTATTATTGACCATGCCTACTTGCTTGTTTACTATGTGTAATTGCTATTCTCTAACTATGACTCTATCAGACCTTCATGACTTAGA